TGGCTAAAATACCTACAGCTCCATCTAATTATAAAAGTAACATTTTGATATTTAGAAAATTATGGGTAGGAGTAATATAAGAAAAACTCAAAATTGGATAATATGGATCTTTCATTCTCACTATAATGTGAATTTTAAGGCTTTTTGTAGCTACAAAAGGGAAGATTATGCTTACTGCCTAGCTCTTATGATATATAGCCTAATAAATTATAATTATTTCAACAAATCTGTATCAATCATGAAGAATCATGCACAGAAATCATCGTGTTAGACTTTTATTACAGTATGTAGGTATAGGTTACAGGATGTCAAACAACCGAAACAATTATTTGGAGGCAATACATTAGTTCCCTGCAGATTCGAAAGAGTTCGCACAGGTTCGGATTAGATTTTTTGATTGCTTTGTGTGTTATTTTTTATTAATTATTAAAAACTTTTATTTTACTTCACTTGTATGTATGTCCTTGAAATTTGCAATCAACGTTTCACCCACTTCCACTTTATCTATCGGGCTAACATTTGGTACACAAGTTTGTTTCATGTGACACGTATTCGTGCACGATTACTTAAATGCCGCCATTTTTAATCCAATATGGCGGACATTACAAAATAGCGATTTATTATTTCCACAGCAACCTCCGAGCCTTTGCACTCGTCATACAGATCCCACAAGTCCAGGAGACGAGATAGGTAGCCCCAATAGACACACCGCACTGCTAGAACCTGGAACAAAATGGGGATTTTATTTGTAAGTATTTTTTTTTTTTTTCAATGAAAGGGTTTGATAAAAACACAGTATGTAAAGTGATGTCATTCTAATCGCAATATGGAAGATGTCATAAAATGACGAATTATAATTTACACAATGAAAGCTCAGAAACTACGATATATTCACATAAGGTATGTTATGTTACGCACGAATTAAAGTCAGCAAATTGTTAGATTTGGTTTTATTTGTGCAACAAAATTGAGTAAAAATGAATAATAACAATAGATCTAGATAGTTGCGGAACAAGAAAGTTTGTTAATCAAGGCCGCCCCTTTCTTCACTTTTAAAGCAATTAAAATTTCATTCAATTCAATGAAAGGGTTTGATAAAAACACAGTATGTAAAGTGATGTCATTCTAATCGCAATATGGAAGATGTCATAAAATGACGAATTATAATTACCACAATGAAAGCTCAGAAACTACGATATATTCACATAAGGTATGTTATGTTACGCACGAATTAAAGTCAGCAAATTGTTAGATTTGGTTTTATTTGTGCAACAAAATTGAGTAACCGCTTAAAGCGAATTGTGCAAATTGTGAAGTTTCTAGCAATCATTTTAAAGGCAAAATATTAATAACAATAGATCTAAGCTGCGTAGTATAAAATTGAAATAAGAAAGTTTGACAATCAAGGCCGCCCCTTTCTTCACTTTTGAAGCAATTAAAATTTCATTCATCAAGGATGAAAGGGCAATTAAGCAAAATGTTGCTAAAGCTAAATTATTAAAAAAACTATTATGAATATTATTAAAATTCGTTAAGCAAAAATGTATTTATTAAAAATATAGATAAAATTGAGTGTAATTACAATAATAATTATTAACATTTGAAGTAATACGTCACATGGGGGATAAGTCGCTCGCGTCCGTAGGCTTCGACCACCTAATCCTAGGCCCACCCTACACGTTTCCCCCGGGTGGTGCTAAAAGAGCGACAAAGCCGAAAGAACAGACTCGGCTACTCGCCGTGTGGTAGCGGCGTAAAATATGCCACGCCCTAGTTTTCGCACCATGAGGCAAAAAGTAAAAGAAATGGCCCCGAGTTCCCGGCGCCCCTTTAATGGGGCAGGGGTGCGAAGAATCTCCGGGAGGAAAACCGGCGACGAGGTTCGCCACCCGTCACGTTCTGTCTACCAGAGAGGCGAAAAGTGGATTGCAGAGGCCCGTCTGGCTACGTTGAATGTATGTGGGGCAATGAATGATAAAATGGATGAAGTATGCGATATATTGTATGACAGAGGAATAGATGTATTATGTGTAAATGAGACGAAAAGGAAGGGGAAGGATGTCACTGCACATGGCATGTATACCGCATACTGGTCTGGTGTAGACGAGATCGAGCGGGCATGCCAGGGAGTAGGTATCATCCTTTCAGAAAGAATGGGCCAATGTGTGAAAGAGTATGAATGTGTAAGCCCAAGACTGCTATGGATACGAATGAAAGTAGGCTTAAAGAAGTTGTGTTAGGGGTCTACGCCCCAGACATGTCTAAGCCCACTTATATCCGAGAGCAGTTTTGGGAAATGGTAAGGATGATGTTAATGAAGTGTAAGGGAAATGAAAATATTATTATGCTAGGAGATTTTAATGGAAGGGTTGGGGTGAGGAGGCTTGGTTATGAAAGGATATTGGGAACGTTTGGTGATGAAAGTATAAATGAGAATGGTGAAAGCCTCCTCACCGTATGTGTGGAAAGGAATCTTTTTGTGACGAACACTTTCTTTCGTCATAAGAAGATTCACATGTATACTTGGGAAAGAGGTGATGATAGAAGCATGATAGATTTCATAACTGTGGATGAAAGAATGAGGAGCGCAGTGGTGGATACAAAGGTTTACCGGGGGGTCCAACGTAGGGAAGGACCACTACCTGGTCTTATGCCGAATTAGGGGTTTATTCAGACGTTGGCGGCATAGGACATCTGTGTCTACCACTGCGTTACAGCGTATAAGAATTGAGAGGTTACAAGATGAAGATGTGAAAGACAAGTACAAATGCAGACTGAGAGAAAATATAAGTAATTTGGATGAGTTGTGTGTGAATGAGTTAGACTTGGAGAATGTGTGGCATAATGTTAAGAAAGGTTTAGTGGATGCAGCTACCGAAGTATGTGGTGTTAGTAAGAGAACGAATGAAAGGAAAGACAATACGTTATGGTGGGATGATGAGGTACGTATTGAAGTTGAAGCAAAGAAGAGAGCATGGCTAGATTTACTAGCGATCAAATCTGGTAATTCTGGCGGTAAGAATGATGAGAATGAAAGAAAAAAGGCAGAGTTTAAACGTTTAAATAAGAGAGTAAAAGAATTAGTTGAAAGGAAAAAGCAAGAAAGAACGGATAGGAATGATAGAAGAATATCGGATAACTTCCAGGAAAATATTAAAATGTTCTGGAAACTCGTAAGAAATACCAGGGGACTTTCAAAACAGCCTAGATTGAATGCGATACGAGACGAGAATGGCTGTATCCTGAATGATGAAGTGTTGAGTCTAAAGAGATGCAAGGAATATTTTGAAAGCGAATTTATGAGTGAGGAGAAGTGTGAACTAAATGAAATAGAAATTCCGAAAGAAGATGAAAGAGATAGGGAGATAAGTATAGATGAAATAATGAAAGCAATGAAAAGCATGAAAGTAGGTAAGGCTGCCGGATATGATAGAGTTTCACTCAAAATGCTAAGGGCTGGAGAGGACGTGGTGGCAGGCCTGCTGTACACCTTGTTTAATTTATGTTGGGAACTAAAGCGGGTACCGGGAGACTGGTGCAAAGCCGTGATAGTCCCAATATATAAGGGAAAAGGGTCACAGCAGGACTGTAAAAACTACCATGGTATCAGCCTTCTTAGCATTGTGGGAAAACTGTATGCTAAGGTACTAATTGAAAGAGTTATGAAAGAAACTGATGAAAAATTTGGGATGTACAAGCGGGAATTAGAAAGGGAATGGGGTGTACAGATCAAGTCTTTTCCATGCGCATGATCGCGGAGAAGTTTTTGGCGAAAAACCAAAAAGTTTTTTGTGCGTTCATGGACTTGGAAAAGAGTGGACAGGGATGTGTTATGGCAAACGCTGAACGCATTTAGGTTGAGCGCTGGTTTGATACAGGCATTAAAGTCTCTGTATAGGGACTCGAGTGCTTGTGTTAGAATCAACGGGGTCTACTCGGACTGGTTTGGCATCCATAAAGGTGTCAGACAGGGCTGTGTAGCTTCCCCGTGGCTGTTCAACCTATTTATGGACAGCTGTTTGGAAAATTTGAAAGTTGAAGAATGCGGGTTAAGAATGGGTGAGTTAACCATCAAATGCCTTTTGTACGCCGATGATCAAGTCATACTTGCGTCGTCGGCGGCCGAGTTGCAAATGATGGTTACATTAATGAACATGTCATTAAAAGAAAGGGGAATGAAAGTGAACGCAAGTAAGACGAAAGTGATGGTTTTTGAAAGAGATGAAAGCAAAACGGTATGTGAAATAAGAATAGAAGGAGAGTTAATTGAGCAAGTGGATGAGTTCGTATATTTGGGATGTGTATTCAGCAGGGATGGGAGATATGATAAGGATATTGAACGACGAGTGAATGCAGAAAATAAAGTAAATGGGGCTCTACACTCTATTGTGAAAAGTCAGAATGTGTCAAAAAAGGCACGTATGGCAATTCACAGTGCTGTATTAGTCCCTACTTTAACGTATGGTAGTGAAAGTTGGGTGTGGCAGAAGAAGCACGAAAGTAGAATAAATGCAGTAGAAATACGGTCGCTGAGGAGTGTGTAAGGGCTGAATCTGAGTGACAGGGTGAGAAACTGTGTGATAAAAGATGAGTATGGTTTGCAAGATGATGCGGTGACCAGGATTAAGAAAGGAATGCTTCGGTGGTTTGGTCATGTAGAAAGAATGAATGCGGAAAGACTGACAAAGCAAATATATGTTGCAGAAGTGAATGGAAGAGTCGGAAAGGGACGTCCTAGGCGGAAGTTTGTCGACCAAATTGGCGATATACTAAAAATGGGCCAAATTAAGAGTACCCTTAACCGACGAGCATGTATGCGTAGGTATATGGATATGGAAGAGGCGAGAAAGGTATGTCAGGATCGTGCTAAATGAAAGTCTGTAGTCTCTGCCTACCCCTCTGAGTGACAGGCGTGAGTGTTTATATATATAATACGTCACACAAAGGAAGTTTTTTGCAACTTGTCATATTTATTAACATCAGTCTATTTGTTGCGAAAGATGGCAGAACAACGGTGGCGAAGTGGTGAGTAACGTTTAAATTTTGTGCAAATCTATAGTATTAACATTATTTTTTTGGTGTGAAACTATAATCCAAATAGTCTTCGTTGTAATATAAACAATATTTTACAGATTGCGATAGTTATTTATGGTATATTTGAAATTTACTACCTACGTTGTATATTTACTACATCGGTTCTTAGTCCCTATAGAATATTAGGAGATTTCATTTATTTTTGTTACATTTACTGACTTATTTTTCAGTTTTGAAAGTTGCATACATTACCGATGCCCTCGAAGATTCGGACCTGGATATTTTATCAGACGACGATGATGGCAAACAGTCAGAAGAGTCACCTCCTGTGAGAAAGTTTAGTCTAAGTGATTCTGATTCAGGTTCTCCTTCAGAATTTGAAAGCAAATCTCGGCCTTCGTCAGAAATTTCTACTTCATCGTTATTCTGTCGAGGGCGTTCTACAACTAGAGGTGGAGCTAGAACACGAGTAGGTCGTTCAAGACAACAGAGGGGTGTAATAACAAGAGGAGGACTGAGTGTTAGTACTCGCAATTCTACTGCGCAGTCAACGGACAATAACTTGAATGGAGATTATTCTCCTTTGGAACGATCATTGTTTCAACCGAGATATGTTTTAGTGGACAAGAAGTTGTGGTCGTAAGAAGACTTTTTTAAACAGTACATTGATGATGATATTTTCGAGAAGGTTGTGGTTGCTACTAACCAGACTTACTTTTCCAAAACAGGTAAATAACTGAAAATTGCACTGAAAGAACTGAATTTTTTATAGGAATACTATTAGTCGTGGGTGCTATTAGCTTGCCACAGTTTAGACAGTATTGGTAGACAGTATTTCATAACAGAACTTCTTTGAAGATAGTATACGATGCCAATGTTTCAGAAGAAGAAAAAACAGATAAAATATGGTTAATAACGTTGCACCACTATTCGATATTGTTCTTCGCGGTTGTCGCACTCAGCCATGAATGGATCACATCAGCATAGACGAAATGATTATACCATTTAGTGACCATTGCGGTATACGTCAATACTATCCAGGAAAGCCTAATCCCGTTAGTATTAAGGTATTTGTGCTTGCCAACCCCTCTGAAACAGTTTGCGATATGGTGATTTATCAAGGGGATATGACATTCCCAGATCTGATAGCAGAATATTTTACCTAAAAATTTTTATGCAAAATTTTCTGAATTTATTTCAATATATTCATAAATGTTGTAATAAACTAAGTGTAGTTCTATTCGAGTTTCATTTCAGTAGTTATTGAGAATCGATGTTGTTTGTAAACAACATTGAGAAAATCCCAGTTTTTCACCAAAGATTTTTTATTTTATTTTTCCAGGTATTTATACATTATTATAGCTCACTGATCTGATTTTTATTAAATTTTTGTACTCAATATATTCTGGGCCTCAGGAGGTTAAGGGTTGTTGTTGATAATGAATAATATTGAAATATATAAAACAATGTATGACCTATATACCTCCTACTCCTAAATATGGACAACCTCTTATTATTAACAGAGTTTTAGGGCAATGACATACGTAGTTAGGGATTTGGTGGACTCCACATTAATTGATCGCTCATTCACAGCATTCTATTAAAAGTTAATTACTGTACACACCTCCTATATTAAATTGTTCCATAGATGTGTTTTCGCCATAATTGCCACAATTGGCAAGCGGGTTGACAAATGCAGTTTTTATTTTTTTTTCAGCTAAAATCACGAAGATGCTGCTGACCATCTTCTGTTTCAGTTTCCCTCAGTCGCCTTTTACAATACCTAAGAAATTATATGGGGTAGTGCATATTCTTATACCATCTTCGTAATATATACAAACATATTATAACTTTCTTAGACATGCAGATTCGTTCACGATCTTTTACCGTTAATTGGAATTTTTTATTATAAAAAGTCCCGCTACAAAATTTTGACAATGGTTTTGTTCAAAAAAAAAGAGAGCCGAATAATTATATAAAAGCGGCCTAATAAGCAATCTTCTCTCGCTGAACAAATTGTTCTCATAAATCTAAGGAAAATTCATAAAAAAAGAATAAGGAAAACCTAAAAATTTATGGTTTCTCCACTGTGTGTCCTGAAATTTATTTATTTAATCGACAGTAACAGTGCTAATAGATTCAGCGATGTCATGACATGCATAAATCAAAAAAATAACTCTTAATAAAAAGTAAGAAGGCAACTCCAAACAACTAAAAATAATATATTAATTTATATTCTGAAGTACACGTTAAATAATAGTGTATAGAAAAATTAAAGACCCTGAAGAAGAGAATAAAAAAAATCGAATGTGAAATTCATAATGTTAAATTAATTTATTCTATTTTGCCATCTCCTGAGGGATATTTTTTACACTTCTATGGGACCACATTTGAAGTATACCTATTTGATGAAAAATTAATTAAAGTATTAGCTAAATTTACAGCCAACATGAGTCTCACGGCTGGGCACAGTTCTCTTATTTTTGGAGAGGTATATAAAGCTACTATCAGCTAATTTTTTCATGAAAAAAAATATCAGCTATATTTTTCATGAAAAAAAATATCCTTATTTTATAAAAATATTTTGTATTATCACACACTTTTGAAGCATGGCGATTATGACAAATCCAAACTAGCAAATATTATGGTAGAAGTGCCTATCGAACATTGAACGTAATCGGCTGTGACAACCCTCGTGGAATAATAATCCCTCGGGTGTTCCAAGAGGCGACTATAGGAAATGGTAAAAATCTTTTTGCTTTCGACAGATGGTGGTTGAGCCATCCTTGTACACCAGACGTTAAAACCCAGACCAGCAGCGTCAACGGTGCCGGTAGCCTGATACTGATATTGTTAATCCATCTGCCCAGCGCATCAATTACTCACTATAAAAAGAACCATGTCCACCATCGGACTTATACGGGCTGGTAAAGAATAAGATTTCACACCTTTATTTCTTTTATTTCTGATTGTAACATTTATATGTACGAGTTGTTGAAGTTGAAGAATGTTATATAATTATACTAGGGCCGATGCAGATCCAAAGGTAAAACCTTTTGCTAGCATCATAAACGGAGCGGAGTATAAGTCTAGAGTCATAAGCATCTTTATTTCAATAAAAGATTCAATCAAATGGTGTGATATTATGCAGATGTCAATTAGTGAATTGATTAGATAATAAAAGAAAAAAATACATATTTTTGTTGTTAACAAACCTTGTCTGCGTTGAGCTACAAATATTGCCCAAAAAAAGTTATGTAAATTGTCCTACGGGTTACGGAGGAAATAGATTTCAAAGAATCTTTTTCTTGACCCTGGAGGCTCTGCTCGCTTCGCTCTCTCCGCTCTAACAAATTATTCACACCGATAAATTAAGGCGTAACCAACTAAACCGCAACAATGGCCAAATTAAGTCATACTTACTTACGATGTAATAGAAATAGTGCCAATTACATATTAATGTGTCGAATTGTGTGGTTGTTCAGTATTAACCTTTTATTGAGTTCATTTACTCGAATACGCTTTTAGCGCTTTCGAAAAAAAACTGATTATTTGCTTAAGAATTAATCAGAACAGCGTCATTTTATCAATAAATGGTAGCATTTCTAGCTTAAATGTTATTACTAGCTTATATATGTATGTGCAAGGAATTAAATAAACAAATATCTAATATAATAATAAAATAACTTTCTATAACTCTTCACGTGGAAGAGTAATGCTGCATCATTGTTATAACTACACCACGAAGGGCTCGGCTTGATCACATTCTCACGCAATACCAGCGTGAACTAGCAGATTTATCCTGCTGTGTTTCGTATTGTGGAGAACCGGAGAAACAATTACTGGTAACGAGGAATTGCATGGTTAGTACTCAGGGATGCATCTTTATTTTGAATCTTAATCAAAGATATATGTATGTGGGATCTTCGAAGAAAAGAATGGTCGAATTAAACACAAAATCTTTAATAAAACTGCTTAGCCTCTTTACAATGTTTATCGTCGTAACCACCGACTACTCAAAAGTGTTGCCATGCCATGACTAAAAACTAACAAAAAACAGATTAAAAATAAACTTTCTGCCACACGGCCGTCCTGATCGTTCATCTGACTCAGATGAATATTCATCTACTTCTTCATCGGCCCATGGCTTCATGAGATCAACCGAGGTTGTTATGTTGATGGGCCCATCGCATTCACCAACTTTTCTTACAGCGTACCTTTCATGATGCGTTTTGGCTGTCACTGCGTAAGGTCCTAGATACTTAAAATACAATTTACTTCCTTGAGTAAATTGTGTTCGTTTAATAGCAACCAAGTCGCCAACTTTGTATTCGGTAGCCGTTTTTCTTTTTCTATTATAATTTTTAACGTTCTCTTTTTGGATCTTTTGTATTGACACTTTTGCCTTTAATCTTAGTTCATTATATTTCTTAACTTATTCTTCTTCTATTAATTTCATAATTTCTTCATTTTCATCTTTCATTATGGTTCCAAAAAGTAACTCGAATGAAGTCATTCTAATACTTCTTTGCCATGTACTATTCAGATGGCGTTGCACGTTGGAAACTTGTTTATACCACTTCGTCGAATCATCAGCGCTCAATTTACTTATAACACTTGCAGATGATGGCGTCATCCCTATAGCCCTTCACAAATCCAATGCTGAAAATAGGAAGGAACCTAAAGAATGCGGCAAAGAATGATCCTAAGCCATCTGCTTTCATCGGCTTATTGCATATCTTACCACTTCGTAACCCCATTTTGTGGAGGGCCGCTCTACACTTTAATTACCGATACGAAGATGCTACTCGAGAACCATAATTTCCCCATTGGTTGTCGGTTCTTCGAGCTGTATGGTCGGCCCAATACTATGCGAATAAGTAAATACAAGGTGAACTGAATGCATATCGATAAATAAATATTTCTCTACAGGTAAAGTTTTTCTTTTATATTACAAAGCCTGTCTCACTTGACTTTTTTACTACAACGTCTTTTTGGTGCAATGCAGCACAAAGATATTTAAAAACTTTTCTATGAAATAAAATATTTCGAACAAAGATATAAAATGAACTTTAAAACATTTATGTTCTTTGTATTCCTGCAAGTTATTGCAAGAACAGATTCAAACAACGTTATCTCAGCTGAAACATGTTTCACACAGCTATGTTAACATTTATTCTATGAAACTCGGTTGTTCTAGGAAGTTCACTTTTTATTATAAAAAAAAACTGGAGTGTTAAAAGATTAAGTACTTCCTGTAAGTAAGTAATTCCTAGAACTAGATTCAGTGCAGATACAGCTGTTTGGTGTCAGTAATTTGTGAAACGGTGGTACCCAACGAGGCAGTTTTCAGGCCGAAAGGGACTCCTACTACCTCCTTGAACTTCACTTGTTTCACGAAAGAATAGTAATGAAAATCGAGTACTGGAAATACCTGTGTGGTGGTGGCGTAATAGAATCCATCACACTAGTTCGTCGTAAGTTTCGTAAAAGGCGACAATGGTAAATGCCAGATAAAGCTTATAAGAAAGCGTATTTTATCGCATTTACCACTGCGAGTGCTCTGAGAAATTGTTCGGAATAATTTCCGTCGCATAATTTCACCATCGCACACCGCAATAAACGTGATACCATCCATACCAT